GTTTCAAGCAAAATCATGACCCATCACCAAACGGCCTTGTGGGGAAGCAGCGAGCATTAATGAGTGTTGCTGTAATTAAAAAGGGTTTGTTAAGGTGGCCGTCACAGATAAGCTGTGGGGCTTTACCTGGGCTGCAGCTTCTGTGGTGAATTTTCTCAAGGTCAAATGCTCTTACTGTTCGTGTCTCAATTAAGGACATTTACAGCTACATTTAATCAAGTGATTGAGGCTACTTTATATTCCATTTGGCTTGAAGCTGATAGCCAAGAAGCTTTGGATCCCCACAGCCAGTGAAGGCTCCTGGGCTGTGCAGGGCAGCCCCTCGGGGAGGTCACAGGTGGGGGGTGCTGAGGGTCCCCCTGAAACCTGGGGGTGGCCAAACACCCACCCCTTTCTCTGGAGGATGCTAAAGTGGAATGGGCACCTCAGTTTTAAATGGAAGGTCCTTCTCTCCCCCAGTTCAGCAAGAACTGGGAACCAGTTCCCCCATCCCAACTGCCCACTGGGGTGGCAGCAGCCGCCGTGTGCAGGGTTGGCTCAGGACACCGCTGCAGCTTAGCTGCAGACGTGTCCTTTTGCTTCTGTCAGCTCCAGTTACGAATTTAGGAGCTGATTTGGGGAAAAAGAACAAACAAACAAACGTTTGCAGGCTGGCGCTGCTCTGCGGCCGTCACACGGCTCCTCGCTTCTTCACGCCTTGAAAAATAGAATGAATTAGCAGGGGCTTAAATTACTTGCCCCCCACGCGCCCCCGCTGTCCTGGCGCTGGCAGGGGTAGGACGGAGCGCCCTGTCCCCCCAGGTGTGTGGGGATTTCGGGTTCCTCCTTCCCCGCCTGCTGTGACCCAGCTGAGCTATTCCTGGCTCCGCAGTGGCTCCACTCTGACCTTGGGCACGGCTCAGATGCTGCAGCCCGGCCCCGCAGACTGTGCTAACGCCCGGGGACAGGCGACAGGCTCCAGCACACGCTCAAAATAGCAGCTTCTCCCAAGGTCTGCCACATGTGAGGAGGGGGGTCTCTGGGAAGCTGAGCGTCTCTGGTCTGCCTGTGACATGAGGCTTGGCAGGGTTTGGGAATGGGCAAGATCCGGGCTCCCAGGCAGCGCCCTGTCCCTCTCTGCCTGCAAGTGCTGCCGGGCACAGGCTGGTGGGGGTTCCCTGGTGCTGTAGGAGGGCACAGTCCCTGCTGCCGCAGCACGGGGCTGGGCTGGGCTTGCCGAGTGTCCCCTCTCGCCAGGCGCCAAGCACAAGTCGATGCTGGAAGGTCACGGCACCCAGCTGCGGCGAGGCCGGGGCAAGCTGCTCTCCCGGGCAGGGCACAAGTCCAAGCGGATCGGGAACAAGGGCAGCATCAACATCCAGAACAAGGCGTTCCACTGCCAAGTGTGCGAGATCTACGTGAACTCGGAGACCCAGCTCAAGCAGGTGATGATGACTGGGGAGTGCAGGGGGGTACAGGGCGTGGGTGGGCAGGGGTTTGGGGTAGGTACCTGATGGTCCCTGAAAGTTGAGAGGTGTCCCCCGTGGACCCAAACTGCACAGTGCTGTGGGTCTCCCCTCGCTGTCCTGGCTCCCAGTGATTCAGTTGTTTCTCCTCCCCAGCACATGAGCAGCCGGCGACACAAAGATAGGCTGGCGGGGAAGCCGCCCAAGCCCAAGTACAGCCCCTACAACAAGCTGCAGAAGAATGCTGCCCTCGCAGTGAGTATTCTCAAGGTACCTGTCTCCCTGCACAGCACCCTTGCTCGCCATCAGCCACCCCTGCAGTGAGTCACAGGAGCTGCTTCTCTTAAATCTCAGTTCACATCACCACACCTCAGCTGCTCCCCTCATGGAAAATGGGCTGTGGTGTGGGGGGGGGTGGGTTCAAGTCTTTATTCCTGGGAAGGCCAGAATGGGGATAACTTGGGAGTGCTTTGGCAGCAGCATTCACAACGGCAGCACTTGTGATTCCTCCACCTGTTCCACAATCTCATGGAGCCTCCTCCTCCCTCCCTGCAGTCCAAGCTGGCTTTGCAGAAGCACCTCACCAAAACCCTGGCGACCCGCTTCCTGCCGAGCCCGCTCACCGCCGCCGCCGCCGTCTGCGCCATGCCCGGCCCCCTCGCCCTGCGACCAGCCACTGCCACCACCCTCTTCCAAGCCCCGATCCTCGGACCAGCCCTTTTCCGAACGCCGCCGGCCCACGTCCGCACCACGCCGGGCCCCATCGTCTTCGCACCCTACTAGAGCCGCTGGCCCGCCGAGGGTCCGCGCCGCGGCCGGGCTGCGCCACGGGGAGCTGTGCGGGGCAAGGCAGCGCTCCCGCTACCTGCTCTCCTGGCTGGTGGGAAACCATAGTCATAGACATCGAATCCAGATTCTCCTTTGCTTGGAGCAGGCTCCTGCTGGAGCGAGGTGCCCCCGGCAGAGCCCGACCAGCCCTGCCGCACATCCCCACCGCTCCCCAGGCCCGCACCGGCCCCGCACTTGGCAGAGCAGCCCATCACGGCTGGGCAGTGCACGGGAGAGGGCGGTGCCTGAGTCAGCAGGACCGTCTCGTGGCCATGGCCTGCCTGTCCTTGGCCTGCTGGCTGCTTCTTCATCGCCCTCTCAGTTACCAGACTGGAAGGAGAGGAGCTGGCTGGTCCCTGGGAGAAGGAGCATCCTTCTGGTCCCTGCCAGCCCAGTGCGAAGGGAACTGTGAGGGAAGTCTCAGCCCAGCTCTTACTGGGAGAGTAGGAGCACAAGTGGGAAGCTGGCAGTTCCCCTCTCATCCCAGGCTGGCTGTGCCCTCGCCAGCCCCACACTTGCCTGTGCTGGCTGGGGGTTTCTGTGCCACCCACCAGCCCCTCAGTTCCCACATCTCCCTACATCCCACCAGCCAAAGAGCCCCAGTGGCAGCAGGCACCAGCCACACTGACCGTATCTTCACTCCAAGAGCAATAGCTGACCCCAGGGCCAGTGCCTCCCCCCTCCAAAGCACATGGGCCCTGCCCTGGCCCCAGAAGCACACAACGGGCATATGGCTAAGCCGGGACCCCTCCCGCCCAGCGAGGCTGGGAGCACCAGGCTGCCCAGTGCTGGGTCCCCAGGGAGGTGACCTTGTGCTTGGCACCTCTCCTTGCCTCTGTCCCACTGTGGGGACAGCCCTGCCCCTACCTCCCGGGAGATGCTGTGAGGCTGAGTGAATGTCCCTAAAGCACTTTCGGTTCTCCAGTGAAAGGCAACGCTGCTGCTCGCCCGCCGTGCCCGGCCCTCCAACCCCATCCCCATTAGGAGCTTCCAGGGAGTTACTGATGATTCCCAAAAACAGAGGTGTCCCCAGCAGGCCGGACAATCAGGTACAAAGGAGCAGGTGGCACCCGTAGCCTGCAGAATGCTGGGCTCCAGAGGGACCCCCGAGGCCGTAGCTCTGCGTTTCACTGTGCTCAGACAGCCCAGCCGTGACGTGGCCTGGGACTGTGCCCGCGGCGCTGCGGGTGCCCAGCGTGCTTGCTGTACGTGGAGACACGCAGGAGAGCTGCATCCCAAACAGACCTTTTGCTGGAGGAACACCCCACCCCGATCTATGCAATCCAGGGGGGCAGCTCGCCCGCCGTGTAAGCCACCTGCGTTTCCCTTTGGTGCTGATGTGTCCGTACGGTTGGGAGCAGCGGTGGGAGCAGAAGAACCGACGTGACACTGAGCTCTGTCCCGTCCCCAGCCCAAGGTGCTGGCTCAGACCCCTGCCGTGGCCCACATTCCCTCCCAGCCCTTGGGAAGAGGCAGGTTGGTGTGTGCACCTGGGAATCCACACGCACAAGCACACATATCCGACGTCGTGGCCGTAGGCAGCACCTGGATTTCAGGAGGATTTTGCCCAGCGTGCTCTGCCGATGCTCAGGACGGGTCCTGGCGTGGGGAGGTGAACGGGAACCAGCCAATGAGCCACTCAGGTGGTTGAAAAACTACTTCCCGGGGTTGCAGCCTCGGCGAGGGCAAGGAAAGCTGCCTGGAGCGAGCAGGGCACAGGGAGCTGCACACCCTGCAGGGCCTGTGGGCAGCACTGACCATGGAGCCACCGCTGCACTCCTGCCCCAGAGACAGGAGAATGATGGAGCCCCTGGGAACGGATTCACCTGCCCAGGGCATCTCTGCCCCGGGGAAGGAGGAGCATGGAGACAGGACACCGGGAGGAGAGTGAGTGGCCGTGAGTAGAGACAACAGAAAGGTCTCGCAGCGGTGGTGGGAGATGTGGCTCGGAGCACAGCTGAGGGAAGGCAGGCTCTGCCAGGGACAGGGAGATGGTCCCGCAGCCCAGGGGACACGAGGGGATCTTGAGTCCCAGGGGACAGGAGCCTGTGCTGGTGGGGCCCCCGGCGGCAGGGGGGACGTGGTCCCTGGTCCCCTGTGCCGCAGTGCCAACCAGCCCCTGGCCAGCACAGCTCCAACCGCCCCCACCCAGCTCACTGTGCCCTTCCCAGGCCCTCGGGGTCGCCCCCAGCCTGGTGGCAGCAGGAGGATGGGTCCCCTCCTGCTCTATGTCCCTGCTGGGCCTGTTCCCCTCCAGTTTGTTCCAAAAAGCCTGTGCTGGAGCCGCGGCTGCTCTGCCACCCCTCACCAGTGGAGTCCTGAGACACTCCTGTACTTGGCACTTTAACCCTGAGAAAGCCATTCCTTCTAGTAACAATAATACTGCAACGAGTTGCGTAAGAACCCCCCCATTACAGCATCCCCCCTGCCAAATCCCCCTCCTGCTCTCCAAAGCATTTACTGCCTTTGACTTAGCACATGCTGTACTAGGAGTAGGGATAGTCCATAGCGCTCGGTAACGTGTGCCCCTCTGTAAATAACCTTGGAGTGATGTGAAGTTTGATTAAAAAAAAAAAAAAAAGCAACAACAACAACAACAAAAAACCAACCACAAACGGAATCTCCAGACTCTAGGGACTTGGCCAGTACCCTCCTGTAATGTTCATTGTATATTTTTTTGATGTACTATAACTGTTGGGAAAAAAAAAAAAAAGAAAAAGGAAAATATTTTGATAATCGAATCTCATCGCTTTATTGTGTTACTCAGTAAATAAAAGGAACAAATATAAACAGGGCAGGGTTTTTTGTCATTTCTTTTCCTACATCCTTTTTTGTCGTTTCTTTTCCTACATCCAGTCTACCTGAAGGGAACTGGTGGTGCTGGACAGCACTGGGACACCTGTGCTTTGGTTTTATGGTAGTTCTGAGAGGAGGCAGCACCGTGACAGGTGGGCAGGGAGAGCATCCGGGTGTGCAGGGTAAGCAGAGTCCCAGCTCCTCCAGGGATCCAGGTGTGCAGGGTAAGCACAGTCCCAGTTGTTTCAAGGTCATGGCTGAGTCTGTACCCAGGAAGAGGAGAGCTGGATTGGTGGATTTGGGCACCCTGCCCTCAGGAACAGCACCTGCCCTACTCTAGGCATTCCCTGGGGCAGGATGCCTGGATATTCCTGTGCATAGAGGAGCAGTGGGCACTGCCAGGTAAGGAGCTGCAGCGCAGAGCCAGCTGGGGCAGGGCAGGGAGAGCTGCTCAGCTGGAGGCAGGGACAGCAAAGGGGCTCTTCCCACGTGGTATCAGGAAATAGAAAAGAGAGAGGGAGTTGTTCTCTCCGGCCTGGCCACAGAGCTGCTCCCCAGGTGCCGGCCAACCCGTTCCTCTGCCACTCCCTCCCCGCCTGTACCCGAGAGCAGAGGGGTCACTGGGTGAATTCCCAGCCTTCCTGCAGCACCTCCCACAGTGCAGAGGCCAGCCAGGGAGAAGGGTGGTCCCTGTCCCACCGCCTCTCATCCTCAGGGACCATTCCCAGCCCTGGGATGACTGTTCCTCCCGCCACCTGCTTCCCGCAGGCTCCGTGACTCCAGACAGGCTCACCAGGAGGTGTGCGTGCGAGGGAAGCAGGGAGGTGAGGAAGAGGAGGTGGACACGGAAGGGAGAGGGGAAGAAGGCTCAGCCATCCATGGATCCGCTGCCCTTGTTCTTGCGGCTCAGGGGGAACGCAGACTTGCTCTGGGGCTGCGTCATCTTGCTGGCCAGGTAGATGAAGGGCTCGATCAGCGAGCGCCGGTCGGCCACCGACACCTCCCACAGCTTCACCTTCTCGCCCTTGGCCCAGTGCTGGGCTGCCTCGTGGTCCACCCGGCGCTGCTCCTGCAGGTCGCACTTGTTGCCCAAAACCACGATGGTGACCTGTTCCAAAAGGGCGAGAAGGGCCCCTGAAGGTACCGATGGCAGCACTGCAGGGCTGCCTGGCTCTGCCCGGACACCCTCGGGGCTGGCCCATGACAGCTGCATCTCACAGACCAGGGACCTGTCAGCGTCTTGTGACAAGCTGGAGCAAAGGTGCAGCCCCTGCCCCGGGGACTCACCTCCTTCTTGTCCTTGGACTTGTCGATCTCCTTCTTGAGCAGCTCCACGCGCTTGAAGGACTCCTTGCTGTCAGTGCTGTAGACCAGCACGTAGCCGTCGGTGCAGGAGAAGCAGTGCTTGGGCAGCTCCAGCCCGTCCCGCAGCCCCCGCGTGTCGTAGAAGCGAACCTGCTCCCGCACGCCGCGGTCCGTCTCGATGGAGCCCACGTAAATGTCCTCCTGGGTCTCGATCATCTCCGAGCCTGGCGGGGGTGGGCAGGGGACACGTGGGGACGCTGCCCGGGGGGTCCGGCCCCGGCGCAGCCCCACCCGCACCTCCCGCACCTCCCGCGTTTAGCGGTGAGCAGGGACAGCCCTGCCCGGGGCCGCCGCCTCGCCGGGGAGCGGCGGGGCAGCCCCGCACTCACCGACCACATGGTTGCCGTAGAGCAGCTGCTCGAGGATGGAGGTTTTGCCGACCGAGGCCTGCCCGCACACCACCACCTTGCAGCTCTTGCCCATCCCGCCTCCCCGGGCTCTCCGCGGGCCGGGCGCGGACCGGGGCTCGGAAGGATGGGGGGGGGGCGGTGCCGCAGCGCCCCCCACCGAGCGGGCGGACCGCGGGGGCCGCGCCGCAGGGAGGGGCGTGGCTCCGGTAAGCCCCGCCCCGCGCCCGGTGCGCCCCCTCCCCTCCGCCGCGGGCCCGCGCGCCGGCGCCCTGGCGGGCAGCGCGCCCCGCCCCGCCCGCCCCGGCGGAGCCCCGCCCGTTCCGGCGCTGGCCCCGCCCAGCCCCGCGCGGTAAGATGGCGGCGGCGGCGGCCGAGCCCGAGTGCGATGTGGTGATGGCGGCGCCCGACGGGCCCGGCGAGCCCGACGGCGACGAGGACACGCGCAGGTACCGCGGCGGCCCCGGCGCCGGCCGGGCGGGGAGCGGACGGCCGGTGACGCGCTCCCGGCGGGCGGGCCGCGGCCGGCAGCACCGCGGGGCCCGGCGGCCGCGGCGCGGGGTTGGCCGCAGGTGGCTCGGCCGGGCTGGGAGCGCTCCCCCGGGGGCTCCGGGCGGGCCGCGGGAGCCGCCGGAGCTGGGGTGGTGCGGCGCGCCCGGGTGTTCCCGGTACGCTCCCGCGGCCTCCGTTTGCACCGGCACTCGAGCATCCGCCGGGCCCGGGCCGGCCCGTGTGTGCCGGGAGGGCAGCTCACGCCTCCTGCCCCGAGCCCGTTTAAAACCTGTCCGTGATGGGTTTTGCCCCCTCCTCCTGCCTTGCTGTGGATAACGGGGGAAAACGCCCTGGGCAGAGAGCCCTGCCCCGGGAACGCTCCATCCCCCGGGAGCTCCAGCACCGTGTCCCTGCAGTGCTCCATGCACCGTCCCCCCGGGGCTGGGGCAGTGGGATCCTGACCCTTCCTGCAGGTTTTCCCCCCAGGAGTGGGCAGGCTGGAGCGCTGAGGGCAGGAGGTGGGAAGGTCCATGTCCACGTGAGCGGGCTCATCTCCCCGGGTAGTTCCTGTAGGAGGGGAGGGAGCGGCTCCTGAGGATTATCCAGTGGAATGAAAAAGAAGAAACAAAATCAAAAGTGGTTTCAGGCTCCCATTGGTGGCCTGAGGGTTCTGTGCAACTGAGGCCTGGAGGAGCAGCTCCCTGCTGAGCAGGAAAGGAGGAGCTGCTGAAGAGGCACCTGGCTGAGGCTCACAGAGCACCGGGACAGCCCTGTGTGGGCACGTCATTCCTGCCCCTGGGCGAGGGAAATGCGTGCTGTTTGAAGTGGTAAAAATTCCCAGTGGTAAAAGCCTGGCTGAAGGCACAGGTGTTTGCTGGCAGCGACCTCCAACACCCTTCTTTCCCTGGCCATACCATGCCATGCACCTCCTTTGGTTCAGCGGGCAGGACTTAGAGAATGTTCCAAATTGCCTTCACAGTGTTTCCTTTTCATGTTTTTGGGATAACGAGATCTGCGTTTCAGGATGGTTGTAACTTTAAAGTCCTGCAGCAGCTGCAGACGTGCCAGAGGGCTCCCAGGGTGTCCAGGGCACAGGAATGGAGTGTGGTCACAGGATAATTATTGTCTGCTGCTGCCTCCTGGATTGTTGGGGTCCTGGCGGAAAGGGTTGATGTAATTGTGTTAATTTTATCCATTAGTGCATCAGTGCAGAGCAGCTGATGAGCAGGGCTGGGCCACCCCCAAAAAACTCACTCGTTTCTTCGTCAATTTTAAAGGTTTCTCACCCATGGGAAACAGTTTTTCCCTGCTCCCAGCTGCTCAGCGAGCTTGGGTCCCTGGAGCTTTGCCAGGGAGAATTTCCTTGTCATCTTCCTGGCAGCGCTGGGTTCTGCCTCCCGTGCGTGCTCCAGGCTGGATCTTTCTCCTCCTCCTCCTCCTCCAGCGCTGGAGGATGTGGAAGCCTCTTGGAAAGAAATACCTCAGATGGTTGGGAAAATCCCGTGGTGAGGTTGCAGTGCCCTTGCTGCAGACCTGGTGCCTCCGTGGGGAATCCTCGTTCCCACACGGAGTCCTGGAGGCTCCAGGCATGGCCTGGCTGTGGCTCACTGGTCAGCTCAGCGGGTGTTGGTGAGCAGCAAGAGGCTTTTCCAAGTGCACTTCCCATGAAGTGAGGGGAATCCTGGTGAGGCTTCTCCGGAACAGGCGTCGTTTCTCGCCAGCTCCCGGGGCAGCGCTGGCAGGAGGGAGGGGAGTCGGCTGAGGGACACCACGTCATTCTGGGATAGCCTGGAGAAGGCTCCACTACTCCCGTTCTGCCTCTAAGTGGGCACTTGGGTTTCCCAGGTGGATAAATCCAACCCGTTTTACTCGTGTGGAATGATGATCTTATGGTCACGTAGTTGTTTGGTCCCCTGTGCATCTGCAGAGCATGGGAATGTCTGACTTAGGCAGTTGCTTTATTCAGGAGGAAAAGGTGATCCATACCTACAGTTCCAGCCTTTTCCTTTCCTTCCCTAGGGGTGAATCATGATGTAAATGTGGTTGTTTTCCCATGGTATTCTTACAGCTGTCTGGTTTCCTTCATTCAAAAGAAATTGCTTCCTTTCAAAAAAGCAATCTCTGGCTGATTCTAGACCTTTCCATGGGTTCTCATCTCACAAAAGTTATGCTGTGGGCCTGCCAGGAGTGATGGAGCCATTGCTGGGAATTAGGTTAATTCCGAGCTCCGGGAATTACATAACAGCACAATTAAAGTTGGGGCTCAGCTGCCTTTCTCCCTCATGGCTGCAGGGCAGGTTTGGGCCAGTTCTTGGATTTCTTGTGGTGCATTTTGGTTCTTGTGGCTCTTTTGGCCTTCCCTGAGTTTCCCCTGGGGTACAGGGGATGTTCTGGGGGTTCATGCGCCTTGTAGGCTCAGGTTGCTGCCGCGTTCCCATGGGTGATTCCTCAGCCCATCTGTGCAGGTCCAGTCTCGGGTTTCCCAGGCTTGGGGCTGCAGTGAGTGGCTGCCGTGGTGCCTGTGGTGCTGCACAGAGCGAACCCAGCGCGCTGGGGGAGCTGATGTGCCGGGAAACGCGCTCTGCTCTGCCCCGGCGGGTCAGCGCTGCCCAGTCAGGGATCACGTGTGTGACACGGCAGTGTGTGTGTCACCGCTGCCCTGGGGAGCCTGTTCAGTGCCCCGCCACCCTCTGGGGGAGGAACCTTTTCCTAACACCCAGTCTGACCCTCCCCTGACACAGCTCCAGCCGTTCCCTCGGGTCCTGTCACTGGTCACTAAGGGAAGAGATTGGTGCTGCCCCTCTGCTCCCCTCGTGAGGAAGTCATAAATATATATTCTTTTATCTCTCTAAATCTTCACTCAGTGTCAAACCTCACCTGAGGAAGAGTCTCTAAAGTGCATCCCGTGTGTCTCTATGGCACAGGGAGTGTTTGGCTTCTCTTCCATGTGCTGGAAGAAGGGAGGGGGAGTATTGTATGTCCAGTGGCAAACACGATGGCTAATTTTAAACTCTAGACATCTGCCTGCTGTAAACTGAATTGAGATCACCAAACTTATTTTACTCCAGCAGCTGAGTAACATCTGACAGCTGAGAATGTGGGTGGGATTTCACCCCAAAAATGCTGGATAAACACACCATATCCCATTAAAGAAAAAAGTCTCTGCAAGAATTGCTCAGAAAAGGCAGGTGTGTTCCTTTTGTCAGAGCCTCACAGGAAAGATTGCTTGGCCAGGACAGGATTTTGGACCCTTCCTTAAATCATGGCTATTTCAGGATTTTGTCACTGTTTCGTAACAGAGGCAGGCGGTGCAGTGGGAGTGAGGGTCAGGAGAGCTGTGAGAGAGCGGCTGTGCCACCTGCTTGAGTGCCGGATTTCTGTCAGTGGTGGTGTTGCCTTGGCACCGTCCCTGCCCAGGGGCTGTGCCAGCACACCTGGACCCAGAGCTGCGGGGTTACACATCCCCAGAGGTTCCCGTGACCGAAAATCAGGTGCCTGCGAGGAGGGTCTGCGGGACTCTCGTTGGGAGCTGGAGTGGGAGGGTGGAAGCCACGATCGGCACTCGAGCGGGGGCAGCGTGTGGAAGCTCTGAGGAGGAGGCAGGAGTTGTTAGGCAAGCGTGGGATTCTGTCACTGTGCGCAGGACAGCTTCTCTGAGCGCTGCTGTGCTGGGAAGGAGCAGGGGGCTGAGCTTTTGGCAGGGCATGGGGAGGAGAAGGAACCTGGTGCTGGTTCCTCTCCCACCAGCCAGGCAGCGAGCTCCGTCCTGGGGCCTGGGCGTGCGAGGGAGCGTCGGCACACACAGCTGCTGTTTGTCTTGGTGTGTCTCAGGCTGTGCCAGGGGAGATCCGAGTGGGACATCAGGAGGAATTCTGTCACAGGAAGGGTGGTCAGGCGTTGGAAGGGCCTGCCCAGGGAGTGGGGGAGTCACCGTCCCTGGAGGTGTCCAACTGGACGTGGCATTCAGTGCACCGGTCTAGTTGACAAGCCAGTGATCAGTCACAGGTGGGACTGGATGACCTTGGACGTATTTTCCAACCGAAATTATTATGAAAGAGAGTAAAAGAATTGCCTCGCTCGCGGGGAGAGTCACCAGCCCCTCCTGCGCCCGTGGTGCACGTGAGCCATGAAAGACAAGCTTCTTCCCCAGCTCCTTGGAGCGGCTCTTCCCCGTGTCTGCGCCCAGCGTGGAGCGGCCCCGCGAAGACACCGACCCTGCCACAAAGCCACCCATTGAGCCGGGGGCGTATTTTTAGCAAAGCACGATTCTTCTGCGGTGTCAAAAGTAGCAAGTGGGGAGCGCAGGGCCCAGCGGCGCGGGAGGCAGAATGAGCTCATTCAGGCCGCAGCATCTGTTTGGGGTGAAACAATCCCCAGTGAGATCAGGGGCTGCAGTTCTCCTTGTTGGAGCCAGAGCCATGGTAAACAAGGGCTGTGTGCTCTGTGTGCTCCTATGTCAGCGGGGCAGAGCTGCTTCTGTCCTGGGGCTGGGAGCTCGGGCCCAGCCTGGCAGCTCCAGCAGCTCCTTTGCCTTCATGCGTCTGTGTTAAAATGCTTAAAAGGAAAATGGGCCAGTGAAAAAGAGGAGAAAACGGTAATCCGTGCGTGGGGGTGTTTCTCTGGCATCTCAAGAGTGCCAGAGCTTTGTGCAAGTTGGTTTTGCAAGGATCTGTTTTCTTTCTCCTGTTTTCCCAGCTCTTCCCAGCAGTTTGTTGCAGATGGGGTGCTCTGGCACCCAGCCTTCAGCCGTGTCTATTAGGCAGTGATTCCTCGTGACATGACAGGTAAAATTGCTAAAAGACTTGTGACTTGGGGCCTGCTGGGCTGGGCTGCAGTGGTGGCTTAGGTGAGTTCTGCCATTAAGACTGTTCACACTTCAAATTATGTAACAGATGCCTTCTGAGGGAAGGAACTTTCATAGGATCTGTGGTTTTCTTTTCCATTTACCGTTACGGAAAAGAAGAGAGCGATGAAACTTCTTACTGCCCAGGTTCCAGAAGTGCAGAATTGCTGAGTAGTTTTTTTTCCGCTGCATTTGGATGTTTGATCTGTAATATTCAAAGGAGGTGGTTGTGTTTGGAAGCATTTCAGTCATGCAAGAGTCGGTGATATGGATCCATCCCGCAGGCAATCCTTGCTGTGGATGGTGTAACCAGGAGGGTGCTGTGGTGGGTGCTGGCTCCTGAGGAGGAGCCAGGCTGCAGCACCTGCCTCAGGTGTGATGCTAGGTGGGCTGGGGCAGTGGAGGGATGGCAGTGACCCGTCTCCCATGTCTCCTATGGATGAGTTAATTGGCTGCTGGAGCAGGAGCGGGAGGAGCTGACCCGTGAGCCCGAGGCAGTGGGTGTGTGCACTGCCCTTTTGCTCTGCCGCAGTTGTTACCATCCCATTTCAGTGGAGCACAGCATGTGGCTCTGGGCTCTGCCGGGGTGTGACTCCCACAGGGCCGTGGCTGGGCCTGGCCAGGGTGTAGCCCAGAGCAAAAGTTAAAACTGAAAGTGAAGAGCACACTTCCCTGTGTCCATTGTTCTGCCAGCTGGGAAATCTGCGATGCCTCACTGAAAACAACCCCTGCATGAGGCGCTTGTGTGGGAACAGCCAAGGGCAGCCTGAGCGAGGCTGAAAACATGGGAACTTGTTCCAACACAATTCCCATTGTTCTCTCCCTGGTTGGCCTGCAGAGCATTGCTGGTGTTCCCAGCTCCAGCACCGTGGTGTGCATTCCCCCTCGGACTGCGCGTCTGGAAGGGTGAAGGGAGATGGGGGAAGAGAGAGAAGGGTTTCATTTCCCTCAGGGAAAGCTGTGCTTTCAGGAGTTTAAGGGAAGCTGCTTTAAACCATATGTTGTGTGTTTCTAAATGTCCCAAACTGTCTCTGCAAACGCTTGTTCTTGAGTGTGAGGACTATTTCTGGACCTGTTGCCAAGGCAGTGCCAAGCTTCTGCTGGAGGCTTGCACCCATATTTCTTTTTGATTTAGCTGTCTTTTGAATGTGGAAACTGTTCTTCTTGGTCTTTGTTCATAAGCATGTGGCACTCCTGAGAGAGGCAGTGCTGTCTCTTGTGCTCTGTGGTGGTGCAGCACCTCACAGGAGGGGGCTGTTGGATAAACCCCATACCAGGGAGTTCTGCTGGACTCTTTGAGGAGCCTCAAAGGTGGTTTTAGGCTGCTATTGCATCCCTGTAATATTTGGCCAGGAAATATCCCTGTTCTCCCTGTTTTTTAGCGAGGTGTGACTGGCTAAAAGGGCTGGAGTATCTGAGAGCCAGCAGGACGCGAGGTGTGCTGCTTTCCCCTGAGCAGTGTGTGCTGAGATCTCACAGCAACCAGCTACAAGCATTTGGACCATTGAAGAGTTATACTGAGGTTGCCTGGGGGTCAAATGGTCAACACGGTCAGAATCTGGTGCTCAATCCCTCTGAAAATGTGGTGTTTTGCTTCCTTTCAGAGAAGCAGAAGCATTCAAGGAGCAAGGAAACGCGTACTATGCCAAGAAAGATTACAACGAGGCGTACAACTACTACACGAAAGCCATAGGTGAGAAGAGCTGATGGGCAAATCAATCTTTGCTTGAACACCATGTCTAGAAATCAGAGCTGGTTGCTGATTTCAAACACACCAGCAGGGTTTCTGACAGTACATGCTGGATGGAAACTTCTTGCCTGCTTTAATTACCTTGGGAAATGTCACCAGATCGATAATGCCGGTCGGGGCCGATGTTCTTAATGAGTGCCACAAGCTGTGTAGCTGCTGCATTACACTGACAGTGAGTCTTGCATCGTCCCCAGATACCTGTCCCAATAATGCCAGTTATTATGGGAACAGAGCTGCCACGCTCATGATGCTGGGGAGGTTCCGAGAAGCACTGGAGGATGCTCAGCAGTCGGTCAGGTTGGACGACAGCTTTGTGCGGGTACGTGGAGAACTTCGGGCTCTTCATTCAGTACCTTGTCTGCACCTGTTGCAGCTCTTGCAACTCCCTTTTGTCTGTGTTCCCAGGGCCATCTGCGGGAAGGGAAGTGCCACCTTTCCTTAGGGAATGCCATGGCTGCCAGCCGCTGCTTTCAACGAGTTCTAGAACTGGATCATAAGAATACGCAGGCACAGCAGGAGGTAAGAGAGGGTCTTCAGATTTAACTGGCCCCAGCAGGTGCTGAGGAGGCTGAGCTGGTCTTTTCCCCCAGCTCTCCAGAGGAGAAAGGGAGAGTAGTGTAAGGCAGCTGCCACTGTTGTGTCCCTTTCACAGGGTACATTTTCCTGGGCTACCAGTTCGGTCAATTGATTTCAAACTGATTTTAAGGCTAGCAAAAGGATTCGTGTCGTCTGCATTATCAGTCCATGGTCTGCAGTAGATTTGGCTCTGACACCTTGGGGATTGATGGCATTTCAGAGCAGAGACTGTCCTGCAGCACCTTTATGTTCTGTCTTTCAGCTGAAGAACGCCACGACGGTGCTCGAGTATGAAAAAATAGCTGAAGTGGATTTTGAGAAACGGGATTTCAGGAAGGTGAGATGAACTTGTTTGCTCTGGTCTTATATAAGAGCTGACATATTTGCCCTGGCCTGTGCAGCCAGGTGTGTGGCTGATTTCCCTGCTGGGTGTTTGGGAGGTGCTGTGCCACATCTGCTAAAGCAGAGCTGGCTGGTGAGCTGTGTCAGCTGTGAAAGGGGCTTGTGCTCCCTGAGCACCGATTAAATGACAAGTGAGGAGGTGACTGGCTCAGGCTGAGTGTCCTCTGTCACCATTTGCTTTGCAAGATGAGTGGAGCCATGAATGAGCTGTTTGAGACAGAGTTTCTCAACAGCAGCATTTAATCAAGCTTTGCTCCTAAAATGCATATCCAGGATCCTTCTTTCTCAACTCTTAAAAAAAAAAAAAGGTAAAAAAAGGCAGGTGAGGGTCACACAAGGAGGAATGCAGATCTTCCTGGGGCACTCTCCTTACTGTTTCCAAATCTTTCTTCCCAAGGGCTGTAAGAGGATGCAGCTGGTACTAACCTGATAGAGCAAGAAACAACAAGCATGAAATCTGAAAGGCACCAAGCACTTCTCATGCAACTGTTTCTGTGCAGTGGATGCATGTAAGGCTCAGATTTGGCCCAGAAAGGAGATTGTCTGGCACACTGAGCTTGTTGTTCAGGTCACTGCCTCTTAGGCCAAGCTCAAGATTTTGGAAGGGTAAATCCCATCATTGTATCCCTTGTTTCCGAGAAGCAAATGGGATGTGTGGTCAGTCTGAATCTCCTGTGCAGGAATTGCCATGCCCGTATTGGACGTCCTGTGTCTTGTCCCTCACTTCCCTGGTCCCACTTTACTGGGGGAGGCTCACATGAAACGTGATCTTTGTTTCTGGAGAGCTGCTCCTGCTCCTGCCTCTCCCAGGAGCCCTTGGCTCTGGAGCACAGTGCTTCCCACAGCAGGGCCCCGTGATGTCACGGGCCGGGGAGCAGATGAACCTTGGGGAACAATGCCCCTTTTCGTGCAGATGTCCCTGCCGAGAGCAGGGATGGAAAAGACCCATTAGCTCACCCTGCCCATGGCTGGCAGGCCTGTGGAAGATCAGCCCCTATACTGTACTTTTTTTGTGTTTTCTCCAGTCCAGACTGTCTCAATCTATTGAATTGCTGTCCCTTCCAAGTGTCTTTATACTACAGGAAACAGGGGCAGGATTGTCCTCTTTAGCTCTTTCTTTAGGGCTTACAGTTTAGAAGAGTTAAAGGGTTGGACCTCCTACAGGTGTCCTTTGAGTCCTGTGGAGTGCTCTGTCACAGTAACACATCAGGTGCCTCAGATCTTGGCACACAAAGCCCTTTAAAAGACAAAAAAACCTGCACATGAGGAAAATTTTCCAGTGAATGTGTCTCTAGCAGCCACACTCCCCTTCTTGGTCAAGCACAAATCCCCAGCGCGGTGCAGCCATTCAGACTAGGCCGTTGGTCTTTGCTGTGCTCATGCCTGTGGCTTTTCCCACCACAGGTTGTGTTCTGCATGGATCGTGCTCTGGAGTTTGCTCCCGCATGTCACCGGTTCAAAATCCTCAAGGCCGAGTGTTTGGCGCTGCTGGGCCGGTACCCTGAGGCTCAGTCCGTGGCCAGGTGAGTGTCTGAGGCCTGGGGGCATGTCCTGGCTGCTGCCTGTGCTCCACACCCAGGGTAAATGAGGGAATATAAAAAAGAAATAGTCCGTAATGCACGCTGTGAGGAGCGGGAGGAGGAGTGTGTGAGTTTATCCCCGTTAATCTTCCCGGGAAGCTGCATCCAGACCCTGTTCCCAGCCAGCCATCCTGCCTCGAGCAGATTCACATCCTTTTGGCTTATCTGTACCGTGGACTTGATAAAATAACTGGATACCTGAGCAGGGCAAGGTGCTTGTGGAGTCAGAAGGAGGCGGGAACGGGGACCATTTCCTTCCCTGCTGTTGTTGCAGCGATATCCTGCGGATGGACTCGACGAACGCCGACGCGCTGTACGTGCGCGGGCTGTGCCTGTACTACGAGGACTGCATCGAGAAGGCCGTGCAGTTCTTCGTGCAGGCCCTCAGGATGGCCCCGGACCACGAGAAGGCCTGTCTTGCCTGCCGGGTAAGTGGTGGAGAAGGGACAGTAAAATTACCAGGATTTGGGGTTTTTTTTAAAGCAAACACCCAACTTGATTCTGCTGGATCAATCCCTTCTTCCTCCCTCAGCATTACCATTCCCAGGCAGTGTATCCAGCCCTTCCCAAAGACAACCAGATAAACCCAAGTTGCCAGAATCTGTTTCTCAGCAGATTGGGACACTTTGAAGCTGCTTCCCCTTCACTCTTCTTTGTTCCCAGATACATCATTTCTAAGGGAACTCCTGACTTTCATATACAATATCTGCCCACAGCCTGACTTGCATTTAACACTGTTCCTTCAAGTTGCTCCTTCCCTGGTGTAGTTCTTCAACTGACTTTTCTAATGTGTTCTCATGTATAAACCCTCAAAAAGTGAGCTCCCAATGCTTTTATTTTAATCCATAAACTTACTGCACTGTCATGTTCTCTCATCTTAAAAATTAGGCAACCTTTCTCCTGTGGAGAATGCCTGAAACTGGCACTGGCTGTTCCTTTAGTGCTTCTCACGGGGGAAAGGCAAAGTGCTTCCAGCTCATCTCAGCTGCTGGAGCAAGGCTGTGGCTTGTATCCTGCAGCAGTGTCTGAAACCAAATTAGAACTCTTAAGTTTGAGGGCACTTGGTCCCCCTGAACGCTGACCTTGTGTCCTGACCCAGGCGTGTTTCCTTTCAGAATGCCAAAGCACTTAAAGCGAAGAAGGAGGACGGGAATAAAGCGTTCAAGAAAGGCAACTACAAACTAGCGTATGAACTGTACACAGAGGCGCTAGGAATAGACCCAAATAATATCAAAACAAATGCCAAACTCTACTGCAACAGGGGGACGGTTAATTCAAAGGTAAGGTGTCTGTTGTCATATCCCTCACCATGTCAGTGATAAACCACGAATCAGTTGTTCTGGGAAGCACAGGCTCCTCTGGCTGCTGGGCAGCTGCATCTGTCTGGGATTTGTGCTGGCACAACACTTGGGTCAGTTCCCAGCAGCCAGCAGTTGAGTCCTGCAGAAACAAAACTCAAATAGTTGGGCTGCACAGAGTGGGAGGTTAGAGGAGGGACGTGCTGTAGCCTTATCTTAGTCAGCAAAGGCTCCTTGTCCCTGTTTCTCCTTCCTGGGAATGAGTAGCTTTGTTTTCTTAATTCTTCTTGTAAGTAATGTCTTGCTTTGGTTTTTGATCTTAAAAAAATTACCTAATTTAAAGCCCTTGGACACTTCTTCCAGCTTTGCTGTTGAATTTTAGTCCTGCAGTATCCAGAGAAACAGTCAGTCATGTGTCAGTGCTCCCAGTTCCCACCCTGTGTCTTCTGGGCATGTTTCCTCCTCAGCTGCCCCTCTGTTGATGCTGCTCCCCAGACATCAGCACTTGGTCAAGAGAACACAGGCTGTTCCCAAAACCTGGGAAGTGGGATGAGCTGGAGACAACATAATGGATGTTTTACATGGCTGTTTGTGTCTGAAAAAAACCCAATTCTTTTTCTAAAAAGATTTCTTTTAAATATTTTCAAGTTTATCTTGCTGTCTGGGAATTAGCTTAGACACAGAGTTGGGATTGTTTTCAGGAAGACCCTTGTTTTCGAGTGCATTTCTTACACAGAAGCACCACGTCTGCCATGTCACTGGCCAAGCTTCTCATTTTTTTCCAAGGGAACAAAAACTCAGAGGTTTGGAGGAATTGGAAAAAAAAAAATTCCTAGGCGTAGAAACCAGTGAGATTTTTCCCCAGATTCTTCACGCTGCTTTCCATTTGCCTAAAAGCAACGATGCAGGATTTGCTCTCAGTTTTGGGATGTGCTCACTTGTGCCTGCCGTTGTAGCTTAGGAAACTCGAAGAAGCGATCGACGACTGCACGAACGCGGTGAAGCTGGACGACACGTACATCAAGGCGTACCTGAGGAGGGCACAGTGGTGAGTGCACCTTGGCCTGGGCAGGAAGGTCCTCCCAGCAGCTCTGAGGGACCGGGTGGCAAGGCTGGAGTTTTAACTGAGTGGAAGGTTCTGCGCTGAGGGGTCCTCAGTTCATTCCTGTTCCTCACGCTGCTGAGCAGAGGAGGGAAGCTCCCACAAGTAGCAGGTGTCTGGGCTCCCTGGCAGTGGCCCTGTGTGGTTCCCTCTGATGATTCTCTTCCCTTAATCCATGCCCACCCAGACAGCTGTACTGAACCCCTTTTGATGTTCCTGTGAAGGACACCTCGGCCACCAGTGTTTCTTTCCACAGTTACATGGACACAGAACAATATGAAGATGCTGTAAGAGACTATGAGAAGGTTTATCAGACAGAGAAAACAAAAGGTGAGCGCATGGGCACTCTGTGTGTGTGCACACTTTTCCCTTAACTGCCAATTTTTTTGTTGTTGCTTTTTTCCCCCCACAATATTCTCAGATTTGCAGCCTTTTTACCCCAGCAGGACAATATGGAGAAGCTCTTGGAAGCACTGGAAATGCTTGTGGCAGGTCTGGTTTCTCTCCCAGCATTGAGTGCTGAGATGATAATTGAGTTTTTGGCTGAGACAGTGCACTGAGTTCAGAATACCTGGTTTCGGTTCTCATTTTAGCTGTCCCCTTGCTTTTTGAGTGGCCTGAAGTGGGAAGGACAAAGTAACACCTCTCCTCTGGCCCTGTGCTCCTTTCCAGAACACAAACAGCTCCTAAAGAACGCACAGGTGGAACTGAAAAAGAGCAAACGGAAAGACTACTACAAAATCCTGGGGGTGGACAAAAATGCCTCTGAAGATGAGATCAAGAAGGCTTACAGGAAACGAGCACTAATGCACCATCCAGGTACCCACAGCAGTCCCTATGTGCCCTGCACAGCCATCACTGAGGCAGGAATGCATATGGGAGTGGGAATTTCTGGACAAATAGCAGCTCTGACCCCACAGGTCTAGAGCGTGTGCTGGGGCAGGAGCTTGGGAATGTTTAATGTTTTCCATTTGCACTAGAAATTAAAAGCTTCTTCCTGCCTGTGTGTGTATCCCCAGACCGACACAGTGGGGCAAGTGCAGAAGTACAGAAAGAAGAGGAGAAGAAGTTTAAGGAGGTTGGTGAAGCCTTTACAATCCTGTCAGACCCCAAGAAGAAGGCCCGCTACGACAGCGGGCAGGATCTGGAAGAGGATGGATTGAACATGGGAGGTCAGTGTTCCTTATGGTGTTCTGCCATGGCAGCCTTTGACAGGATCAGACCCTTAAGAGTCTGCCTTAGGCCCTAAAGCGAGTTTCCCATTGAGAATGATTCCATGAATTGATTCAGTTTGGTTGCTGAAAGCATTGGGATGGCAGAGCTGCACTGAGTGTTTCCAGTTGGGAACTGGCTGGGGTACTGGTGGATGTTGTCTTAGTGGCTGAGTTGATGGGCAGTGGCTGCCATTAGGCAGAAATCTATCACAGGACATGTGAAGTAGTGTAACTGTGGATCCCTAAATGATGCTTATCCAAACCCTTAGGCTGCTTCCTGACAGGTTCTCCCTGTGACAGCTGCTTTTACCTGTTTGCTGCTGCTGTGCCAGGGCTCGGATCCAGCCCTGTGTCCCTGCTCCGCCCCCTTTGAAACCCTCTCAGTGAACTGACAGTCCCTGAACTGTGGGAGTGTAAGTGGCTCCTTCCCTGCAGCTCATTAATTCTTTCTCTTCCCTGCAGACTTTGATGCAAATAACATCTTCAAGGCCTTCTTTGGCGGGCCGGGAGGCTTCAGCTTCGAAGGTAGGTGAGGGTTGCTCCTGCCAGCCTTGGAGTCGTAAGTACATGGAATCCCTGACAGGCCAGCTGGGGCTCCCAGTGGATGTGCTGCTTGGAAAGTTCTGCCCGTACAGCCTCAGCTGGTGGCTGGTTCTGGTTGTTTTTGGGTTCAAAAGCCCCAAGCACCAGGTGTTCTCTGCTCTGGAGGTGTGTGTGGGCATCCACGTGCTGCTTCAGTTTGCACTGAACTGTTCTGTCTTTGAGTCTGGAAAGTCCTGATATCTCTCCCATTTTCTCTTTCAGCTTCTGGTCCTGGAAATTTCTTTTTCCAGTTTGGCTAAGAAGCAAACAAACACAAATCAAACCACACATACCTGATCTGCTTCTTTTAACCTCGAGTACGGACAGCCCCAGACTCCTCCTCCATCACGTCTCGTTGTCCTTAGAGCAGTTTCATTTCTGGGTTGGAGCCTCTGTTTGTGTGTTGTGTGTGTGAAGAGGAAACCAGCTCGGGAGGGGAAGGCTTGTGAATTTTGTTTTACTGTTAACTTTATTAAAAAAAAAAAAAGAAAAATAAAAATAAAGCTTTGAATCTTTTGGTCCCTCCATGCTGGCCCATGCTTTCAGCTGCTCCTGCCCCTCAGCACAGAGGATTTCCCGGAATTTTCCCGGAATCTCCGTGTGTGAGAGGGTGAAGGAATCTCCTGGTTTATTTTGGTTGGCTCTGAAGCAGCATGTCCAGGGTTTCGAGTAACTTGTAAGTTATCTTAATTTTTCGGAAATATTGCCAACACTCAATCCAGTTTTATACAATCCCATTTCACCTGCCAGCTGGATTTTTGGCTCTTTTTATTTCTTTTTTTTTTCCCATGGTTCTCCCAAGGTCCACTCGGGCATTAACTTCAGTGATAATGTGTAAGCTTACAATTCTGTATCAGAGGAATGCTGCTTTGAGTTTAAAGAGCAGCTTATGTGAGAATTCCCTGTGATGCAGCTGGAATTAAGGGCTTTGTGTTCCCAGGATTGTCCTGTTTAAGGGAATATTGAACTTGCTCTGGGCTGAATTCCTTCACTGTACTTTTTTTAATTAATCCACTTGAATATTTCATATTTGTGCTAAACTTGATTTTGTTGAGCTTGATGTGTGATTTCCTGTTACTGATCCATGACGTGGGTGAGTCTTTCAATGCCAAGTGAAGTCCAGGCAGGGATTGTGGGTGGTTTGGGATGTGCAGTGCCGAGCTCCTGTTGTGCAGCAGCTGGGTTGGTTGGTTAACCTGGCCAAGTGGTTTTCTCCTGGCAGTGATTTACTCGTCCAAAGCAGCAGGGAAATGCAAAGCCCAGCTCTGAACTGACAACCTGTACTTGTTTCTCTCATGCAGTGTCAGGATGGGAGCTGGAGGGATGGATGACCTTCCAGCCCGGAGCTGCTTCCAGATGGGTTTGGTTTCACCTAAAAGGTGGTGTTGCAGCAGGATCTTACCTGGGAGAGGGCTCTGCTCCCAGAATTCTCCCCTGCTCTCTAGGGAGTGGAGAACCTTTTTGCCCAGGTGCTCTGTGAGTTCGGTCCTGTCTGTGGAGGGTTCATGCTCAGCGTGGGGTGTGAGGGGAGCAAGAGGCAGCAGGGCTGTGGCTGGGGATCCTGGGCTGGTGCTCAGCGAGGGGCAGTGGGGCCGTGGCTGGGTCCTGGGCTGACCTGGCAGGTGTCAGAGGAGGAGTTTGCTCAGAGAAGGGATGTTGGTGCTTCACAGACCGTGCTGTGCAGAGAGAGAACCTGACACCGACTGCATAACACCTGACTTACCTTCCTCCTGCAGGAACAAACACTGCAGTGGGCTCATTGCACGAGGTGATGGCTCTGAATGCCATGTCTTTGTCTTCCTCCCTCCCGAGGGCTGTGCCTGTCCTTCCAGCGGGACAGGGACCGGCGCGGGGCCGCGAGGTCCCCAGCGGTTCCAGCAGAGACGGTGCTGTCGTGGTCCTGCTGTGGTGTTTGGTCAGGATTCTTGACAATCTGCTTTCGTAGAGGGGAAAATTTAAGGGCTTAAATTTTAGCACTGCAGAACAGAGTATTTGACAACTCACTTGGAACTCAGCTTTCCAAGTGAGCCAGTGCTGAGTAATAATTTCAAAACCCAACTGTACCGTGTTTATCCCAAGGTCCTTCACAGCAGTGTGAAGGGTGAACCCCCCCCAGGTGCACCAAGAGCAGTTGGGTCCTGGCACCTTTCAGGCTCCAAAACGGTGGATCCCTGGGGAACTGAAACCCTGGTCTATGCACATCGATCCTCCCCCAGCTCTCCTGGCAACTGTAAATCAGTTTACAGCTCCTGTTTAGTGGTGTTCCGGATCCATGACGTCTCGTTCTCTGTGTGTTGTTGTCACTGTACAGTCTGGGCTGTCCTCAGTCTCCTGCTGCTGAGCACAGCCGTGCCCTGTGTCTGTCAGTGGGTTTGTTCTCATTTCCCCCTGCCCCAGGGAAGTGCAATCTGCTTCCTTCCTCCCTTCCTCCTCTCCAAGCTACGAGTGAGCCCATTCCTCTGAGCGCAGGAGTGGGATGGCTCTGCTCCTGGGAGAGAAAATGTAGACAGCAGCTATTTATAACCTGTACATGAATGCATGATTTAATGTAGTTAAATATTCATGTGGTGAGTGCCAAGACTTTTTACGGAGCGTTGTTATGTGAGTCAAAGTGAAGGCACAGAACCACGGAACGGTTTGGGCTGGAAGGGACCTTTAAAGGCCATCGAGTCCAACCCCCTGCCGTGGCAGGGGCACCCTCCACTAGGATGCCCTGAGCTCTGTCCCTGTTCCCCTCTGCACAGAGCGGGGGCTGAGCAGGGTTTGGTGGCACCCGGCACCTCAGGGCAGCAGCAGCAACTGTGACCTCCACCGTGTCCCAGCATGGCCTGGGGACGTGGGACTGCTTCTTTCCAAAAAAATGTGCTCAGATGAGTGTTGTTTGGAGCGTTGCCTCTGCACACAGAGGTTATTATCCGTGAGTTGTGGTTGTGTGTAGCCACAGGAACAGGAGTGCCACTGCTCTGCGTGTCCTCCGGCTCCACGGGAGCCACTGGACGTGGGGATTTGCCACACTGAATGGGTGTCTTCAAGGGGTGTTGCCCCTGAGCTGTTTCTAGAAGGGCAAGGAGCTGATGGAGGTGCAGGAGGCAGGTGCTGCCCCTGAGGCACAGGCAGGGTGGGATGGACACGATCAGGTGTGGTCAGACCCTTCCTGCTCTTTGGTGTCACTCCCAGCCAGCTCTGGCCTGGCAGTTCCTGCCCAGGGTCTCCCAGGGGGAAGGGCTGGTGCAGTGAGAGCTCCTGCCAAAAGGGAAAGACCTGGAGAGAGAAGAGTTGAGAGCCAGACCAGGCTGGTGTGTCAGGGGGGATCTTCCACCAGTTGTGCTGGGAGTAGTTGTTCTGAATAGCTCAGGAAGGGGCTGTCAGCTTCTCCAGGGAAGTTGTGAACTACAGGAAAATAGTGTGGGCAGTGTGGCTGTGGGCAGGGCCTGCCTGTGGGGGCTCTGCTGTGGGACTGCAGCATTTGCAGGGAGATAGGAATTGTTTGGCTGTTAGACTTTCCCTTGGATGTGGTTTTGCCTGATTGTGCTCATGGAATCATGGAGTATTTGGGGTTGGAAAGCTGTGAAGACCATTCAGGGGCTTCTGGTCACCCTCTTTGACTGACTCCTTGTTGCTTTGACTGCACAGGAAGGTACCAGGTTTGTTGTTTGAACACTCCTGGGAGTGTTCAGTGAGCGGGATCCCCAGTGCTGACAGCTGCTGGCTGTTGTAAATACAGGAGTGCAAGCTGGAAAAAAACAGGAGAAGGAAAAAAATGTTCAGGGACAACAGTATTATCCATTATCCGTGGAACAGTGGGTCCCTCCACTCTCTGTATCTGCCAGGATACAAAGTGGGAGCTGCTGTGCTGTCGTCGTGTTTCTGGCATGGAGGCTGGTCCAGCCCCAGTGCCCCCAAACAGGGTCAGGCCACGTGCTGCTTTGCCACTTCCAAATGATTTCCTCAGTTTCAGTAATAATAACTCTACATATTCCCTTATCTCCAGTGGATGGTTTTCATCCTGTTCGAATTCGTGCCTTGTCCCCAGGGAACAGGACGCCCCCTGTGCTGCGCCCACCCCGTCCCTGGAGCGGTGCCAGTCCCCAGGTGGCTGTGGCAGGGCTGTGACAGGGACAGGTGGCAGCAGCTGGGGGGCCATTCCCTGTGCCCCAGGCCCTGTGTGACTGTAGGAGCTGGTGTGTAACTTTTGCCCTTCCTGCCAGGCCTGGCTCTCCCACTGCCGCTGTCAGGGATGGGGTTATCCCTTCTCAGAGCATTGCTGGGCGTTTTCCCTTGCCCAGACCCAAGCTCAGGGGACAGCTCTGGTCTGGTGCTGGAGGGGGAGCTGGGACACTGCGCCTGAGCTGGAGCACAGGGGGTGCCCTGGTAGGGCAGGATCCGTGGAGAGCCTGGCTGCCATCCCAGCCTGTCCCACTGCCCCATCCCCTCCCTGCTGTCCTTTCATGGCTCGTATGGAGAGTGTGGTGTGAGGCAGAGTCAGAGGGGCTGCGTGTGGAGCACCCCAAGCCCCTCAGTGCATGTGAGTCGTGGTGGTCACGACGTTACGGAATAGTCCGGGCAAATCCAGGCGCTGATGCGAAGCCACTCGGAGAGGAGCTTGTCCCTGCGCTGCCGTATTTATCTGAATTGGAATTCGGAATGTTTACCTCAGTGTACATAGCTCAACCTTTCCCTGGGAGGAAAGGGGAATTGCATGGAGCAATCGCTGTCCCATCGCTTTGCCAAACTCCTCATCCTCTCCCAGCCAGGCTCCGTGTCGGTACTGACTGTCCTGTCCCTCTTGGACCTTTCTAGGATGTGAATGGTAAAAATGTGAATATTTGTTGTTTACTTCCTTAGCAGAACTCCTGATGCTGTGTTTGTATGGGGAATCAGCCTGAGCAGACCCATATGCAATCGGTTTTACTTTATTATAAACTGTATATGATGTACAAACTAATAAAAACTCAAACGACGACAGTGTCACTGTTGTTCTTGAACAGGCAGATGAAGGAGGTGTTCCAGCTGTGCATTCCAGTGCTGGAGTGATCTGGATGCTGGGAGTGTGGGCTCAGTTGGCCCCTGGGCAGGTGCTGCCAAAGGCCTTTTTGAGCTTTGGTGGAACAAACCCTTGAGGTTCTGTCAGGAGAGGCCCTGGCTGAGCGTCGAGCACTCGGCTGCTGCTGGTGTGGGAGCTGGATTTCTCCTTGGAGGGCAGGGAGGGTCACCTGGGTGGGTTTAGAGCTCACTTTTTTTTATGTTGTAACGAGAATTTATTATCATTCTTCATTTTGGAACAGCAGGAACTGTTTTGCTTTCCTAGCAGAGTGTTTGGTTCCAGACAAACCCCAGAGCTCTCCCTGCTTTCGGCCTCAGCATTTGGAGGAGAAACGCTCCTTACCCCGGCAGTGTTGGGCTCGGGTGAGCTGTGCCCAGTGACAGCCCCAGCCCAGCCCACGCCTCAAACACGGTCAGTATTTACAGTATTAGTGGGTTAATGTCACTCTGCAGCTCCCCAGGCCCTGAGCCAGAGCCAGAGGTCGAGCTGGGACCTGACCTGGGACCATCAGTGGAGCTTCATATTAAATATGGCCCAGGAGCCACCGCCCCGCTGGACCGGGGCCTGGTGGAGCACAAACACAGGTTTCAAGTCAAACATTTAATGACAGAAGTGCTGGGTCAGTAACTTCCAGCCAGGGTTTAGGTTCGAGCAGACTTGAGTTACGCGGTTACGGTGCCTCCGCTTCCTACGCTACGGGGTTACTCCAGCCTAACTCTTAACATTCAAGTGCATTAGAGGAAGGGAGTAAAATCCTGCATGAAGTGCAGTTCTGTACTTCAGACATGATTTTAGTTTGTATCCAATAAGATGGAAAAGATGTTAGTTCATCTCTTCCACTCCCTGCCAAGGCAGGATTGTTCCCTACAGGACAAGGGTATGGGACAGTGCTTGGTCCAGCCCAGGTAGGGGGAGTTGGCCAGAACTGGCTGCCTGTGCTGATGTTTCACTTGTTTCCCCCTAAGTCCATGGTTGGTGTCTTTAAGACATCACCTGGCACTGTGCCTTCCTCCAGGAGGAGCTGGGCTGGAGCTGGGCAGCAGTGGGACCAGCCTGGGATTGGGGCTGCCAGGACCTGCTGCCCTCAGCAAGGTCTGTCCTCAGGGGCCAAACCCTTGGTACGGGGCCACCCCTGACAGGAGTGAGCCACGCCTGGGTCTCACTGGTTCTGGTTCTGGTTCTGTCCCTGGGTGTGGGAGGGGAGGGACATCCTGCAGTGCCCTTGGCTTCAGAGCAGCGACCGACGGGCTTTGGTCAGTGCCGACAGGTAAAGATCGAACGATTGTGGTTCAGAGGGAAGCGATAAAAGCCCAGAGCTGATCTTCCTCCAAGGAAGAAAACAAGCAGGACACCCTGGCTGGTTCCCTCCAAAACTCTCCCATTAAAATCCATGACAGTTTCAGTCAGGAGTTGCTTGTTTTCTTCCTTGTCCTGAGGCCGATAACTCCCCAGAGGCTTCACACTGGGGTGGGCAGAAGGGTTGACTTTAGTAAAGGTACAATTATTTCTCTTTACACTTTAAGGTTACGGGAGTTACTTGCCTTTTTAAAAACAAACCGAGGAGCTGCCCTGCCCGTGCTCCTAGATGATGGTGCAGGAGCTAAAGGCAGATCCCCGTTTGTTGGTGCTCTGCGTCGGCACGAGTTTCCCCTTCCCGTAGTACCCCGAGAATATCGCCCTCACATCGATCTTTTTAGAGAGGACGAGCATCCACATACCGTTATCAAAATACAGCAGTTTCCCTCCTCCAATTTCCCCCACTTGCTCCCCTTTGTTCCCCGCCTTTTCCAGCTTCACGAACTCCAGCAGGTCGAGCCCGGTCTGCACGGCCTCGACGCCGTTGGCGCAGCCGAGGGTGATGTGGGCCCGGCTGCCCCGCGGGAGGTTGTCCGTGGGCAGGATCTTGTCGGCGTCCCCGGGCCAGAGCAGCAGCTGCTGCTCGTTCAGCTCGATGCGAGCCCCGACAGTCTTTGTGGTGATGAACAGCGCCGAGATGGAGAGGGTGAAGCCTTTGCCGTAGGAAGCCTTGACGGCCTGGAGGAGAGGGACACACACATGGAACAGTGTCAGTGCCTGTGGGTGGGGATCACCGTCCCCAGGCTCAGGGGAAATGTGGCTGCTCACAGTTAAAATACCAAGTGCGAGGAGAAGGTCAGGGCCTGATGCTCCAGCTCCGTGGATTGGGAGCTTGGGTACATCTTTTATCCTTCACAAATTCCAATATTTAACTTGGGCTTATCTGCTCTGAAATAATCTGTCTGGGAGAGTCAATACCTCAGTTCATCATCGTTCAGCTCACTCTGCTGGAGATGATGCTGGAGAGGAGGGTGTGATGGTGGGGGAGAGGTGGGAGTATTTTGTTTGGAAATAGGAAACAGCATCTACACAATTCTGAGTCTTCTCCTGCACAGGCCACATGGATGTAGTTCCTGTCCCTACCTTTGGCCTCTGGCTCAGAGCAAAGTCCTGTCCTCAGCCCACCCCGAGGCTCGTGGATTCCCTGCTGAGGAGGGAGGGACGCTGGGGGTGTGGGGAGGAGTTGGGACCCCAGCACTCACTTCCTGCTGCGCATATTCCTCAGCTCCGGCTGCTTTTCCGAACTCGGTGTATTTCGTGGTGCAGTGCAGGACCCCGGGTGGCCTCTTCACGAAGTAGCTGGTGAGATCTATTTTTACTTTGGGGTCATCAATAGCAGAAGCAACTGCAAATACAGGTAAAGAACATCACTGTCACAAGGTGATCCCCCCAGTGTCTCCCCATGAGCCCAAGTCCCATCTCAGGTCCCTTTCCCACCCCGTCCTTCACCTCATCTTTCTGGCTGCTGGGGAGCACTGGATGGGTACCTGAACCCCTCCTTCCCCCCAGGCTTAGCACAGATGGAGCCAGAGAACAGAAGCTCTGCGTGTCATTGTGGCTTGTCTTAACCCCGATGATGTGAGTCCCTTAAGGGATGGGATTGTTCAGCCTTTCCTGTTTCTCTCTGACTCTGCCTTTGTCCCACCCAGCCCATCAGAACCAGGGGACACCCAGGACCCCACATCCCACTGCTGCCACCCAAGCCTGGTGCCCTGTGGGGCCAGAACTCAAAAGACTTCTTGGGAAAAGCCCTTTAATTCATTTTTACTTAAAAAGCAACTTCAGCAGCGATGGGGACCAGGTTAGTAGCTTTAAAAAGCTTTTCTTGTTGACAAGTTCAACTAGAAATTGGCTTTAGGAGCTGATTAGACTTGTTAGCATCAACAGGTAAAAACATGGCAAGACCATGTCTATACATACAGTATTTACTCTCCTTTTTGAAGGCTTTGAGACTCCCAAGCTCATCCAAGAAGGCCTGGCCGGCCTTTCTCAGGATCTCCGAACTTCTTTTGCTCAAAAACCACCCAAAATACATGGGGAGGAATTCCTTCTCCAAGCTTGGCTTCATCTTCTTCAGCTCTTCCACAGACAGTTTCCACTGGTTCTTGTCCTTCAGCTGGGGACAATCCAAGCGCCAGGGGGTTTTGGGCTCGGCGAAGATGACTTTGTACCGGTACTTGTCGGCAATGTCAAAGAGCTGCTCCAGCCGCTCCCGCTCGTGGTGAGTGTCATCCAAAACGATGACGCTGATCTCCCGTTTGCAATAGTCAACTAGATCCTCGTCCACCTTGGAGTACTCTTCGGGAATGGAGCTTCTTATTACCGGTGTGATTTTATAGTGATCGACAGAGATGACCTTGCAGGCGTCCTTGTACCGATCGTGGATGGCCTGGGCCAGGGTGGACTTCCCGCTGCCAGGCAGGCCCCGGAGGATGAAAAAGGTTTTGGATTCCTTGAGCGTGGAGATGGTGTCTTCGTCGTCCAGGAATGGGAACTGCAAACTCTCAGGTCTCTCTTTCGCTGATTGAGTAGACATTTTTCTAAATATTTTAGGCAGGAAAGTGTGACTCTTCTTGGAGAAGCCTCTGTTCTGAAATGGAAGGAGAAAACACTTTGCAGGGCAGGAACCCCAGAGAGCACGTGGCTTCACTGGAACCTTTACTGGGAGAGATGGGGTGCAGAGAGCACCTCTCCCCCCATCCTCACTCGGGTGCCCTGCTGGGCTGAAATCCCCTCCCACAGCTGCCCTGGCTGGTCCCACGGCAGGGACCTGCTCCGTGTCCCACCCAAGGGGTTGAAGGTGCAGCCCCGCTCCCCTTTCGGGCCTCGGCAGCTGCAGCTCTGCCCCACCAGGAAGGGGAAGTTTTACCCACCACGTGGCAGCAGCTCCTCGTGCGACAAATTGAGTCTGAGCACTTGAACAAACCCCGGATGCTGAGGGCGCAGCGAGACCTGGGGAAGCCCAAGGGGAACCGAAAGGCCCAGCAGGTGCTCGGAGCTGCCACACTCTCGTCCCTTCACCTGAATCACACGCTCTGTCCCCAGGGAAGGGGCTGTTTGCTAGAGCAGCCTGAAAGGATAATGCTGTCTCTGAGCTGCACTGAGGATCAGCACCCGAGCGCTGAGGAGGAGGGAATTAGAGCTCCTCTTGGGAAGAGATATTGCTTCCAGGAAAACCCAACCCCTCCCTGCAGCTGCCGGAGAGGGCAGAACTCGAAAGTGAAACCTCGAGTGCTGAAGGAAAGCAAACACTTTTGTCTGGCAGCAGCGAGCACGCTGCTGGGAACTGGCACGGGCTCTCCTTCACCTCCTGCCAGCAGCTCCTATAACTGGAATCCCAGATTAATTCCCAGCAGAGCCTGGGAAAACACTGGCCTGGAAGGAAGCGAGGGGTTTCTCCAGCTGTGTGAGTTCACTATAGCGACAATGGGGCAGTCACTGTTTTTGGGTCAATAAATGAACTCTCCACCAGCCCAGCCTGAGACCCACTGGAGCCAAAGGCCCTGGGAGTGATGCCCAAGGAGCGAGTTTTGCCTTTGATGCAAAATCGAGAGATTTTTCATAAAACCTGACTCCTCTGCCTGGGGCAGAAAGCTGCATTTCCTCTTTGCAGACTGATGCTGTCTTTTAAAAAATCCCCACTTTTCAGGTGCTGAATTTCCCCATTTCTTTATTCCAGAACTTGGAGGTGGGTTTGGTTCCAAATGCCTGGGGAGCAGGACCAGGATCCCACAGCTCCCACGGGCGCTGCCTGCCCCAGGATCAGCTGCAGGACGGGGACCCCGAGTGCTCTGGGGCTTGTGTGAAAAGAAACGGGCCCACCAGAGCAGCGGAGACCACCAAGCTCCAGAGACCCCCGGGCTCTCCAGGTCCCCACAGAGGAGGAAGCAGGTGAGTCACCTGGAGCTCTGTTCTTGCTCGAAGCACAGGTGCCCCGTTTGCCGGGGGGTCGGAGGGCCGGAGCCGGTGCCGCGCTGTCCCCGCACCGCGCTGTCCCCGCACCGCGCTGTCCCCGCACCGCGCTGTCCCCGCACCGCGCTGTCCCGCGGGCGGGGGCCGGGGCCGCTGTTCTGCCGCGGCAGCTGCTGAGGGGACTGAGGCGCTTTTCAGCCCCGCGAACAAAGGAACAATCACGGCCCCCCCGGGCCATTGTTCGCCGCCGGCTCGGGGACAACGGGCGCCTTCACGGCCCGGGCCGGGTGGACAAAGGCCCCGCAGAGCGCGGGGTGCGGGGTCCCTCCGGACAATCCCCCATTGAGCCCGGCCCGGCCCCCCCGCCGCCCCCACAAAGCTCCCGCTTGTCTCCGGCTCCCCGCGGGACGGGGGCTCGAGTGGATGGAGCGATCGCTCCCGGCCCTAGGTTGCCGGTGCCCCGGCGGCCCCCGGGCTGTGCCGAGACCCCCAGAACGGAGCCGCGGGGACCCCGGGGCCGTTCTCGGGGCCCGGCTGCCCCCGCGTCCCCCCAGACCCAGCGCCTACGTGTCGGCGGCGCCGCGGGCGCTTCCTCCTCTCGGGGAATCTGAACCACTGCCCGGGCGGAGCGGCCGTCCCGGTCCCCATCCCCATCCCGGTCCCGCTTACCATGGTGAGGGCAGCGGCTCCGGGGCGGCCGCCGGTGCGGAGCGGCGCGGCGCGGAAGCGGCTTTGGGGCGGGCGCGGTCGCGGCCCCTTTCATAGCCCCGGGGCTCGCCCGCCCCGCGGGGCCGGGACGAGCCCTCCCCTGGGGCTCAGTCCCCGCCCCGCCCGGCCCGGCCCGGGGATGCGGCCGGGACAGCCCTGGGCCGGGAGAGGGGATAAGAGGAGAGAGGAGGCTCTGGGAGCGGCGGTTCAGCCCAGCTCCTTCCCTGCTCAGGACACACCACTCCACTGCTGGGTATGTCTTTCGTTCAACATTTATTATTTAATCTTCCCACCTCTGCTCTACTTTTCCCCGTTGCTGTCCTTCATTTCCTTGTCCATTTCCTCATCGCTGGCGTTTCTGTGTGCTTCTGTATCGTTCCCGTCTTCCTCTTCTGGCTTTTCATCTTGATTTCCCGTGTCTTGTTCCTCTTCCTCCCTCTCTCTGTCCTTCTCAGTCTTGTTTTTTGTGTTTTCTGTGTCGTTCCCATTTTTTTCTTCTGGCTTTTCATCTTCATTCCCCGTGTCTTGTTCCCCTTTCTCCCTCCCTGTGTCCTTCTTAAGCTTGTTATTTTTTGTGTTTTCACGGCTGGAGTCACGCTCTGGGGAGGAATAAGCAAATTTAAGCCAAGTCGCAGCGCTCAGCAGTTGGCCCAGGCTCTTTCATCCCCACCAGGAATCTCTCGCTCTCAGGAGCCCCTGTTTGCTGGGACAGGAGGTGCTGGGAAGCAGCACCAAGGGGAGCAGCCCCAGGGGCTGTGGGCACAGAGCTCTGCCAGGACCCCTCACCAGGCCTGGGGAGGGCTGGGGTGTTGGTGACACCGGCCCCGGGGTGCAGGGGACACTCAGGGAGCGCTGCCATCTGGACTTGCACCGAGATTTTAATTCAATACTTGGAAGGGAATGGGTGCTGTGGGAATCCTAAGGTGCAGCTGCTGTGCTCCAGAAGAGGCAAGTGGGGAGTTTTTCCATTTCTGGGTGCAGAGGTGGGAATGAAAAGTACCTTTCTGGAAGGGAACCGTCACTTCTTCGCTGCCTATGCTCAGCCGCTTGATGTAGCTTTTGCTCACCTTATCCAAGGCCTGAAAGGGAGGTGGCTCTTAATAAAGGCCCTGGAATTGCAGTTACATACCCAAGATTTTCCTCTTTTCTTTTGCTCTCTGCTGTCCTTTCCTACTATAAAACACTTCATTTCTCCAGCATTACTGCCTGGAGTATCCCAGTTAGGAAAACAGCTGCTCACGGATGCTGTGCCCTGAGCTCCTCCTCTCTGCAGCAGCCCCCTTACCGCAAGGATGGTGTTTTGAGCAGCCTGGTCAGGCACAAGCTTCGCCTTCTCCAGGGCACTTTCAAAGTTCAGGATTGCAGACCGGTAATCCTTTAATTTCACTGGAACACACAAGGATATCAGCTGGTTTAACCCAGGATCAGGAGAACAACCAGAGGCTGATCTGAGGACTTGCTTTGGCTGTTGAATCCCAGAGATGTTATCAGAATGGCTTCTCCACCCTGAGAGCAAAACCTGAGCCCACCCCCTTACCTTGTGCCTGTGCCACCAGCACGGTGGCGTGGAGCTGCCACTCCACATCTCCCTCTTCATCCGCTGACTCCAGAGACTTCTCTCCACAATCTTGGGCTGTTTCAGCTTCACCCAGCTCGAGGTAACACCGGCCGATGTCATGGAACAGACAGGCCTTCTCCAGGTTGGATTTTGCCATTGGAATCCTCTTCTCCCAGCTTCAAGCAGAGTAAGACAGGCAGTTATCGACTGTCACTGGGTGCAGTTACGATTCAACCACCGATTTGACAGCTGAGGGTTCAGGTATGGAAACCTCCCTGGCCCCTGCTGCAGTGGGAACACACAGCTGCAAAGCCATGGCCTGGGTCACTGCAGGCCCCCACTGGCCTTCCTGCTGGGCTGTACTCACGTGTTGATGGCCTGCTGGAACCTGCCGGTCCGGGCGTACACGCGGCCGATGTTGTCCAGGGCACGGGACTCGGAGTCGGGCAGAGCACTGGGACAGGGAGACAGAGGGGTTGTGGCACTGGAATTGTCCTGCTCCTGACTCACTCTGAGTCCCTTTGGTGTTCCCCGTGGCCTCAGGGAAGTGTTGGGGAGTAAAGGGCCCAGGTCAGACTGAAAGTCGTGAAATTAAGGTCAATTTTTAATTTTATTTACAGCTGGCAACTGACCCCATGAGACACAGGGGAAATGGCTTAGCTTTATCTTTGATTATTGTTATTTTTTTGTGCAAATCTGGCATTCCTTGTAAAAGTCTTTCCACTTTTCTTTGTCTCAGTTTCCCTCTGGGTCCCTGACGTTCATGGATGATCTCTGTCTTCCAAAGGGAAGACCCAAAAATGTGTCTGCAGGCTCCTGGCACCAGCCCTGCTCCCTGTGCTTGGACTGAGCTTTGCTCCATGCCACAGGCAGCTCCTATAACAACGGAGTCTGGGGGCTTTAATTTTTTTTCCTTAATTATCCTCATTCCCGTCTTTGCAAGTGACTTTGCCTACCCTTACCTTAGAGAAGGAAAAACCCATGAGCGGAGCAGACAAATGAGACGGGAATCATGGAATAACCGACTGGTTTGGGTGGGAAGGGGCCCTAAAGATCATCCAGTTCCAGATCCCCCACCACGCGGTCATTAACGCGAATCATTACCGAGTCATTAACGGCGTTTCCAGCTGCGGCCGCCAGAGGGCGCGGCCCGCCCGTCACCGCGGCCTTCGGGTCCTTAAAGGAACTGGAAAAGGATCCTAAACCCAGGTAACTCCTCCTGCCTCTCTGCTGCTAATTCCTGCCTTTATCTAGGGAGTGAGATCGCCAGGAGAGAGGCATCCATTTCCTAAACCAACACTCATCTCCAAAGGGATTTTTGAAAGTGAGAAGCAACCCGTCAGGGACATTTTGAAAGCCCGGTGCAGTGCTGGCAAAAATAACCCCCAAACCACTTCAATTCAAGACACTGTTCCATGTTTTCTCGTGTGCTTTGCAAGCTGTTACTAAGACTACATTTTGCTCCACTGTGGTTCAGCTGGAAGAGCTGCAGGATGTGTCCAGTGTGGGCAGGTAAGTGCACCTGGGAGAGACCTTGATTTCAAGCTGCTCTCATGGTCTGAATGAAAAGTGTTTTAAGACAAAATGTAGCAGAAAAATGGTGCAATTTCAAGCCTGAGCTTCCTGAGAAGGAAGTGTTTGCTCGAGGCTCAAGTGCTGAGACTGGGACTTGTGTTCTTTTACTTTGTTTCAGCAGAGGTTTCAGTGTGCCCCGGGCTCTAGGTCCTTGAAAATCTGCTTCAGGCTCCTTATTTTTGAAACAGTGAAGATATAAAGTCACCAGAGACCCTGATAGACAGGCAGAGCTGAACGTGTGGCCCTCCAGATGAGAATTACACCATTACCTGATGCTAAAAACACCTCCACAGAGGTACTTTCCCCTTTCTGCACCCGCCTGAACCTCCCAGCACTTACTTCCGCCTGGCACCATCCAGATCCCTCCTGTAGCTGCGCAGAGCTGCCTCCATCTGCCCCATCTCCGCCTGCGCGTTCCCGATGCAGCTGTGGAGCTTCCCAATCAGTTCACTCTTGTTGGGAACTTCATCCTCTGCCCACCCTTGTATCTTTTTCAGGACACGCTCAGCTTTCCTGCAGCTTTCCTCAGCAGAGCCTCTGGCCAGCACTGGGGACAGGGAGCAGAGTTTGACACTGGGGAGTGACACGGAGATACTGAGAAGTTGTGGATTCCCCATCCCTGGGAGTGTTCCAGGCCAGGTTGGACGGGGCTTGGAGCAACCTGGGCTAGTGGAAGGTGTCCCTGCCCATGGCAGCAGGTGGAGCTGGATGAGATTTACGGTCCCTTCCAACCCAAACCATCCCGGCATTCTGTGATATTGGGGAAGGGACACCCAGTGCAGGGGCAGCCCTCAGGCAAAGGCTGGGAATGGTCAGAGCTCCCCAGAGCAGCGGGAGGCACTCAGCTTCCAGCCAGGAACCTACTCAGCTCAATGTCCTCCATGTCCTTCGCGATGGCTCTGGCAACTTCGGCGGGTTTCCGTCTCCCGTCCCCCATCCACCTCTGCTGCAGGAGCCGCCGCTCGTACAGCCGGGCGTAGATCGGCTTCTGCTGCTGCCAGAAGTCCCTGCGCTGGTTCAGGTAGGAGATGCCATCCAAAACCAGGTCTTCGACTTTGCCCCCCTGCCTCATGTTGGTCTGCATCAAGTCTGGAAATAGGATAAGGTGGAATCCAGGTGAGCGTTGTGACAGAACTTCAGTCACTTGCAACGAAGCTGTTTCTCCTTCTCATTTCATCAGCACAGGTTGCTCTGAGTTGATTTATTGATGGGGAAGGAAATAAGCCTCTAGTTATAAATGCTGGACCTTGGCTCCAAACCACCTGCCCGTGTCCAGCACCACGTGCACATGAGCTCCAGCACAAGTAAAGAAGAGTCACAGGGACAAAAACGAAGAGGAAAAACAAAAAAAAAAAGGATAAGAGAAAAAGAAAAACAGAACCTGCTTGGAAGGAACAAATAGGTAAACACAAGGGAGAAACACCTTCATCCTTGAGCAACTTCTGCAGGAAGGTCTTGTCATCATAAAGCTGTCCCAGAAGCTCTCGCTCCGTTTTTGGATTCTTCACACGCTGCTTCTTCTTCGTCCCTTTTTGATCCTTAGTCGGTTTGGTTTGCAGTTTCTGGTTTCTGCTCTGCAGTGAGTAAAAAGCAAAGGAAGTTGGGGAAGCTCAGTGGGGAACACTGGAATGATCAGAATTCTGTTATGCTCCATAAAAGGCAGCTTATTTTTTAATTAAAAGCAAAAAGTCAGTGTCTCACCAGCTGCTTTGGTCATGAGCAAGTGAAATTCTGCAGCCAGTTGTGCTCCCTCAGGACGAAGAGGGTGTTACAGGAAAAGCAAGAACTAGTTCTGGCCTCTTGGAGGAACAAGACCCTACTGCCATGGAGCACCCCAAAGTGAAGCAATTTAGAAAGTGTCCATTATCAAAACTGTGACCCCTCAACTTTAGGCAAACCCAAAGTCAATACTGGAGCTCACAGCACCCTGCTGACCTCTGGGCTGTTACTCATTAGTCATCAGATGGGCGACCAGCAACACCCCCAGGAAGGGGCTGGTGGGGGAATTCCACACTGGGCTTTGTTCCTCCCCATGGCTCTTCCCTGCCCTTCTGCATTCTCCTTTAAGTTCTGGGTAGTTTGAGCCAGACCTGCATTAGAAGCAGGGTCAGTGTGTTTTAATGCTCAGGGAGCCCTTCAGCAGACCTGCTGCACAGCACCCGTGTCCCTGCAGGGACTGCCTCCCCTCCCGTGCCCATTCCAGGCAGTTTTAGCATTGCAACCCCTCTAGAAGCTTCTCCAGCCAGAGCTGTGTGCTGTACCTCTGCCTGCCTGCTCACGAAGCCCAGCTCCTCCTTGTTCTCCAGCTTCACCGAGGCTGGATCTGCAGACACAGAGGGGACCCCTGTCAGTGCCCACAAAGTCCACGTGGGCTCGTCAGCAAAATGCCCGTAAAGGTGCCAAGCCCAAAACGTTCAGTTTGAACTGCAGCTTTTCTAATTCATTCCCGTGGAGCAGGGGGTGTTGGTGTGTGCTGGGCACGGGGAATGCAGCTCACCCACCAGCTCCTCTTGGGATTTTAATTCCTATTTTACACAGCACCAGGAGCTCTCGTTGCAGCATTCCTACAGACAGGCTACATCCTGCATGGAAACTGGGGAAGGATGAGGCAGGTTCTTCTGGGGAATCACAGCTGGAGTGTTAAATGGCAGGAAAGCTCGAGCACAGGGAGCCCCTGCAATCCAGAGAGTTATTCTAAAGGTTTGTGCACTGACATCAGGGCAAAACTCCCATTGTGTTTTCATCTGCACCTGGGGAGGGGAGTGTCCAAGGGAAGGACAGAGCTTCCCAGGCTGCTGCAGGGGGATTCCCTTTGGCACAGCCATGGGGCCCAGAGCAGCAGCGTGAGCACAGGTGGATCACAGGGGCAGCAGTTCCCGATCCTGCCACGTGAACCACAGGCAGGGAAGCACTTTGGGGGTGTGCCCTGGTAATGTGTGTGCATTTCCCAACTATTCAAACATCCATGTCCATGATGTGTTTCCTTGTTCCCCTGCATCTTGGAGCTATTGACTGATTTAAAAAAAAAAAAAAATCATTTTTCTAGTTTTTTAATCCACTCCTGTTTCTGCAGCCCAGGGGCTCGAGGGAAGTTAAGAGATCTTGCCTTGAGCCCGGGAAGATTCCAGCTGGGAGCTGTGGCAATACCTGATCACTGTGCTAAGCTCAGGAAGCAGCAGGAACGGAGGAAAACAAGCCAGATGTGGAAACTTTCCCTGTTTTTTAAATAACCACTCCGTATGAAAGCGCCGCAGGCTCTGGCGCCACCGGCACGTGAGTTAATCCCTGGCACTGGGGGAGGGCTGAAGTGTGGAAATTTTGGGGGAGGGAGGCCTGGCCTATCTGGGGATCTGTGCAGGGTGTGAGCGGGGCGTGCTGGGCAGGGATAGGCTCTGGGATGCTCCCGAGCGGTTCCAACCCACCCAGCAGGTTTGGCAGCCCCGGGGTGGGGAGGGGGCTGAGCACGGGGCTCCCTGCACGTGGCAGCCCCAGGTGAGGTGTCTGTGTGTGTGTGTGTGTGTGTGTGTGTGCCCCAGACTGGCACAGACTGCCTGTGCCCAGCAGTGTGGCTGAGGCAAAAACTGGGGGACAAGTTCTCCGTGTGTTTGGAACCCCACGAGGTCCTTGGCCTCTCGTGTCTCTGCAGGACCCGCTGGTGATCCGAGCCAGGAGTGATGAAAGCAGAGCTCGTTGCAAGAGTCAACAGTTTCACTGCTCTTGTGCAACGGGAATTGGAGGAGAGTCAGGATTTCGGGAGGCCAGTCTCAGGTAGCGTGGCACATTTCATTGCAAACGTTAAATATCGGGATAAAGATCTCAAAATGGATTCTGGAATTAAGTGGGCTCTGGAATTAGTGCTGGAGGTAGGTCATAGAATCGCAGAATCCCAGCATGGTTTGGGGTGGAAGGGACCTTAGAGCTCATTCAGTCCCACCCCTGCCATGGGCAGGGACACCTTCCACTAGCCCAGGTTGCTCCAAGCTGGCTTTGGACACTTCCAGGGCTGGGGCAGCCACAGCTTCTCTGGGCTACCTGTGCCAGGGCCTGCACCACCCTCACAGGGAAACATTTCTCCCCAATACCCCAATTTACCCTGCCCTTTCTCAGCATGAAGCCATTCCCCCTTGTCCTGGCACTTCAGGCCCTTGCAAATAGTCTCTGTCCACCTTTCTTCTCGGCTCCCCTCACACACTGGGAGGCCGCTGGTGAGATGATCTGCTCTGGTCTGCATTCCTTGCAACATTTCCGTGGTGACTTTGGAAATTTTAGCATCAGGAGTTACCTACAGAACTGAAGGGATCGGACAGTGTGTGTGAATGGGCACTCAGGTGGGGAAAGGAGGAAAAAAAGAGCAGGGCTGGGCCTCTTTGTGGTGCTTCCTGGTGCTTCTGGGTTCACCTGCCACCGAGCACGTGGACCCAGGAGCAGCAGGGCTGTGGTGTGGGGCCCTTGGGTCACTGCCAGAGCTGCTCTGCCATCGGCTGTGCCCTGAACAGCGTCAGCCAGGCTCGTGGGGGCCAGGAAGTGGCACTCCTTACTGCCAATGCAGTTCATAATTGCCTCCTCTGCCTTGTTGATGCCCAGCTGGAACTTGTTCTGGTCCGGGCGGAGCCTCCGGCCTCGATGGTAAAACACCAGCGCGAACTCGAAGTCCCCCATGGTGTAGAGGGTCTCTGCCTTTTGGTAAAGCCCCTGAAACAACATTTGGGAAAAGAAATTATTTAAAAAAAAGGGGGAAAAAAGTGTCATGGATCTCGAGTAACTCCTGACAGGCAGAAGGGAGAGCCCAGGGGTGTCACAACCTGAGTTCAGCAAACCCCAGTCCTGGAGCTGACTGAGCACCTCCCCTGCTCCGAGAGCAGCAGAAACCTCAGGAGTGTTTGGAGTGAGCTGTTCCCTCCCAGCTCTGCCTCAGACCCTGCAGGGACTCACAGATCCAGGCCAGCCCTTGGCCCCCCATTCCCACCACTTTGGTTACCTCAGTGAACGCTTTGTCTCTTTGGAGCGAGGCTTCAGCATCCTTCAAGGAGTTTTCTGTGTCCCCAAGTTTCAGGAAGCACTTGGAGCGGGTGATAAGGCACTGCTTGTCCCCTGCCCTCAGCTTCAGCGCCTGGAACCACAGACATGGACACGTCACCAGCGCTGGACGTGCCACCAGCGCTGGCTCCACACCACAAATACACAAGTGCAGGTGTTTGGTGCCACCTGCGCTGTCCCCTCACGGATCCTGATGACAGATGGTGATAAAACCACAGGATTTTTATTGAAAAGAGCCTTCCCTTGCAGTTCACAGGTTCTCTATGCTGGAGGCGCTGCCCTGCCTGGGTCACCCCCTGCTGCCGAGACCTCCTGGGGACACGTCCCTCCGAGCCACCTGCCCTCGCCGCGGGTGCCACGTTCCTTCCGCTGCCTCTTCTCCCTCCTGAACCGCGTCGCGGTCGCCCACCCTCTTTGAGGCCCGCCCCGCCCCGGGCACTCCGGTGCTCCCGGGCAGTCCGGTGTCCCCGGGCCGCGCCCCCGCCGCGGCGCCCTTACATTGTTGAAGCATCCCAGCGCCTTGTGGTGCTGCCCGCGCCGGCTCAGGGTCGTGCCCTCGGTGATGAGGCTGCCGAAGGTGACGATGGGCCCGGGGTCCGGGTCCGCCATGGCCGCGCCGCGACGCCGTTGCCAGGCAACGAGCAAACTTCCGGTGGAGGCCCCGCCCCCGGAGTGACGTCAGGCGCGCCCGGTCAGTGCCCACGCGTGTCCCGGTACTGCGGGACCGAAACCGGGACCGGCACTGGGACCGACACTTGAGCCCCCGGCCCGGCCCGCCAGGCTCGCTGCTGGGCAGGAAGTCCGCGGGCTGTGCCCGGGGCTCCCGGCGGGTGCTCGCGGTGCGTCTGCCCCGTCCCGACCCGGGGCCCGTGCCGTTCTGTTCTTCCAACCCGCGTTCCCGGAGCCCTGCGCGGTCTCGGTGCCAGCCACGGGGTGCCGAACGCCGGGCACAGCCGGTTCCTCCTGCAGGGGCAGCACGAGGGGCAGCCGCCATCCCCCTCTGCCCCCCGCAATCGGTTATTCGGCACCGCTTGGCGCTCGCGGGTGGCCCCGGTACCGGTTTCGCCGCTGCAGTGGGCCAGTCCTGGCCAAATAAATGACTAACGGGAAACGCTGCTGGTTCCCTCCCGTCTGCGCTTCAGTCCCGACTTTATTTTGGCGCTGGGTGAGACCCCGCGCCAGGATTCGCGTTGGAGACACTTTGTTCCTGCCAAGTGACTCACGGGGGTGGCGGGGGGAGGTGTCTGTCCCGCTCGGGGCCGGTGACATTTAACGTCACCACGAGGCAGATCCGCGGTGCCGGGGCTGTCCCGGGCGGGCCCGGCCTCAGCGGGGGCGGGAGGCGGGGTGGGGGTCACGCCAGGGTGGGGAGACACGAGGGGCCGAGCCTCGGAGTGGGAGGCTGGGGTGACACACCCCGTCCCCGGAGAGCGGCGCAGGGATTTCGGGCGGTGGAAGCTCTGGGGAGTAGTTTTCCAGGGATACTTTCCCCCCACTGGCAGCGCCGGGCGTGACACGCTGTGCCCAGCGAGGTGGGCAGGAACATCGCGTCCGCGGGGCTGTGCCCGGCCTGGTGACACCGTCACAGGCTGGAAATACCAGGGGAAAAGTGAACGTGGGATGGGTGTTTTCTGGGAAAGCAGCAGAGCCGTGACGGCCGCCGTGAGAGGCTGGTGAGGGGAACGGCGCAACGCGGGAGGCAGGGCGGCCTTGCCCCCAGCGCTCCCGGTGCCTCGGGAAGCTGCGTGAGCCTCCCGTTGGCCGCCTCCCCCGGGGGTCGCGCTCCGGCGGTGGGACCGGAGAACCGGCTCCGGCAGCGCCGCCACTCCCCCGTGGGCACCGCCCGCCCGCGCAGTTGCAGCGCGCCCGCCGGGAGGCTCCTCGGCCCGTACGGGCGCCGGGGAACCAGCCCCGCTCCCGGTGCCGGTGACGCCATCGGGGGCTCGGTGACGTCAGCGGCGGGGGGGTCACGGCCGCGGGCTCCGCCGGTGGTCGGGGCTGGGGGGTGGGGTGTGGGCGGGACTACAACTCCCACAAGGCCGCGCGGCCGCGCCCCACCCGCGGCGGCCAATGGGCGCGCGGCCGGCGCTCAGGCAAGGCGCACGTGGCGGCGGCGGCAGCCAATGGGCGGCGGCGGCGCCGTGACCCGATGGGCCGGGGGGGCCGCGCTCGGCGGACAAAGGCGGCGGCGGCGGCGGGAGCGCGGCTGGGGCAGAGCGGAGCGGGGCGGAGCGGGGCAGAGCGGGCGAGCGGCGCCAGGGTGAGTGTGGGGGGTGTCGGGCCCCGCCGCTGCCGAGGGAGGGGGGGGGTCTGCCAGGCCCTGGAGAGCGGGGGCTCTGCCCGGCACATGGCGGGGCCTCGCGGGGCCGCTCGCTGGGGCGGCGGCGGCGGAAGGGGCTGCGAGTCGGGAGCCGCCGTGGTTCCGTCCGGCCCCGGCCCCACCGGCTCGCTGGAGGGCGGGGCGGGCCGCGGGAGCGCCGTGGGCTCGCTGGAGCGGCGGGTGTGCGGCCGGAGCGGAGCCCCGCTCTCCCACCGGCACCGCCGCCCTGACCTTGCCCGGGTGTCCCCGCAGCGGTGCCGGTGGCCGGGGCGCGCTGGGGCGCGGGAGGTGTGCGGGGACGCAGCGCAGGCATCAGCGAGGGGCTGGGAAGGGGCTCCGCGCTCTGGCTTTGGGCGTCTGTTCCCTTCCCAGCCCGCTCCAGGAGGGCCTTGGCTAAAGCACCTGCATCCCCTGCCAGAAGGAAAATCCCTTCGTGGGCATCCTGGAGGAGCAGCCCCGTGTCGGGATCTCGTTGCTCCCTTCCCAGGTCAGGTGGCTGTGTTCCAGCTCTCCTGTTTGCTGCCTGCAAACACCTCCTGTTTGTCTTGCTGCTTTCGAAATTCTCATCCTGCTGTAAGGACTCTCCCATCCCTCTGAACTGTTTGCTTTCTGCAGCAGTGTCTAAAAGCTGAAGGCTGAGGTGCATCCTGAATATCCTGTTTGCAGGTGTTTGTACTCGTTCTTATCCCTAGCTGGATTTGGAGCTCAGAGCATCAGCTCTGCTGCCCAGTGCTGTGATCCAAACCCTGTTGAGTTTCCTGAATGTGAGGCTCTGCAGCTCTTTCCATGTAGCAGGGCTTTTCCCACCCTTCCACTGCTGCCTGAAGTGATTCCCAACAACCACGGTTGGGAGTTCTGCCAGGGAACCTGCCACTGTGCAAGTGACATGGGAAGGATTTAAGGAATAAACATGTGAAGGACCTTCCCAAGGCTGCAGAATAAGATGGCCTTTAACAGCGGGGCTCCAAATTCCCCACTCGTGGCACTGGGCGCTCGCCAGGTGCGTGGAGCCCATCCGCTGCTCTCCGTTGGCCACACAGATCCCTGGTCCCTTCCCTCCCCTGGCTGCTGTGCTGTTCCCAGGGGTTCCACGTGCGCAGGGAGCCTCCCCCAGAGCTGGGCGAGCAGCACCTGCTTGCATCACCCCGCACGGCGTTTCCCAACCGCGGCTGCGGGACCGTGACCCCGCGCCGGCCCTCGCTGCGCTCTGCCAGGTGGGGACTGATGTAACCCTTGGTGCTGCCGTGGGCTGAAAATACTGGCTGGGCTTGAACTGCGTTAATAAGTGACCCGGGATGGAGTGGGAAGGCTGCTTTGCCCTGTGAGTTTGTTGACATAATTCTTGGGAGAGCGGGCGAGAAATCTTCGCTGGGGAGGGAAGTCCTTTCCTCCTGGCAGAAGCGCCGTTCAGTTGGGATTGGAGCGTGGTACTGATCCAGATCTAAGAGAATTCCATGCCTGAGCACCACGTTCTGGTGGAGTTACACCTCTGCAACCAAGAAGGGGTTTGAAGAAAAATGAAATCAATGTCTTTAATGCCTCTTCCTCCCCTTGCAGAGCAGACAGCGTTGCGCTGAGTTAATGCCACATCGTTGGTCTCTTGGGAGTCAGGGAGACTTTACCTGGATTCTGTGTCAGGAATGCCTCCCTGTTTCTCCACTTGTGTTTCCTTTGGATCTGTTGCATGTTCCCTTCAGCTGGTTCTGATGT